TTTTCCGCCCTTAAAAATTCGACAACCTCCGCCGGGTATTTGAACCCGCGTACTACGAGTCATGAGGTGGGAAGGTTACCTCTAGACTACGGAGGCCGCTACGTTAGTTGCTACAAGGAGTAGTTTTCTGTGGGATGACACGCCACGCAGTCGTACTATGACGAATTCTTTTTCGGAATCCGATTCCATGCGCATATATCTGACGTTTCGGTAGTGAGTTCAGATGGACGAATGGACTGTAAAAGGTAAAGCTATCCCTGTAACAGGCCATAAAGGACCATAGGGTTGTGAGACGTCGAGGCCCCCACGTTTTCTAGACAGATGGCGGTGAAGTCAGTCTTACGCGCCCCCCCCCCAGGAAGATTCCTGGTACTCATTTCTGTTAGAGGCTGAGTCGACCGTAGGGTCATATTGCGGTTGGAAGGATTAGGTCAATTGAAAAATCCAATGCCATCGGGATTCGAACCCATAACCTTCAGGCTTTTAGCATAGTGCCTCAACCAACTACGCTACCGTGTCCGGACGGATGAACTGACCTAATGTAATACAAGTTCCGCAAGGTTGCGAACGCATCTAAAATCATTTGTCTCACACATACATGAATCGATTATCGAACATCTGACAGAATATTGCCAAAAATAATCTGCTAATACGAGTTTTAGAAATAATGTTTACGTATTCATTTCTTAGAAATACGGAAACCGGTTCGCGATACCTCAGTTCTATGATGGCTACGCCTCTCTCCGAAGTCTCACGTTTTAANAAACCTTAACTCTAGACGAGGGGTCTCCAAACTTTTCGAACCTCGGGCCACATTAAGTAATTCAGCACTTTCAACGGGCCGGATAAAATGAGAAATTAATAACTCTAAGAAACGTTCTGGAAACATCCTTTTTCGGCTGGGAGTGGTAACCGATAGCCGTACCACACCGGCCGTCGTAGAAAGGACTAAAGTTCCGGTAGCCGTATCAACATTCCTCGCTACCAATTCTGGGAACAGTTAGAGCAAAACTGGGCATAAGTTGCCTTTAATACAAAAATGGTAATCAGTACAACACCGGCGGTGATGATGATCTGTTACAATTACACTGCACCACTGCAAGAAGTCTTGTGCTCAAGACGGCTAGTAACGAACTGCTCGCGCTACATACATTGCCACGAAGTGACACTACCGATTGAGGCCGAACAAGTACGAAGAAATACCGCGCAGTACACGGTCCAGAATTAGTAATATTGTGAATAATATTAATATTAACATAATATGGAATATCAATATATTTTAAACACAATCTTAATTAATGAATTTGAAATCTATGAACAAGTATTTTTTTACCAGTACTCATTGGAAAATTAGTTCAATTGGCGCATTTCTGCACAATTCTTTCGCGGGCTGGATAAAAATCACATCGCGGGCCGGATGTGGCCCGCGGGCCGTAGTTTGAAGACCCTTCAGTCTATCATCGATGTTCCCGAAATTTGGTGTGAACGCTATGCCATTACTGCCAAGATCAGCGAGATACTTTCTGTTTTTGCTCAAATAATAACGGCGTGATGAGGTCGAAAATCGTAAGGTGGGAGCGATACTACTGCCACGTAACGGTGGAATGGCGGACGACACCACTGAACTTTCCCCCGCAGCTAAATCAGATCCACACTTGCCACATCCCTCATTTCCCAAGATTTTCAACAGTAAAAGCACCGATACTTTTTTACATTATCGACAGTTACCCGAAATTTTAAATATCAACAGCTCTTGAAATCACCGAGGTTTAAAACGTTCCCAACAACTGAATATTTAAAAATTACTGACACACACGAAGGTGTTCAAACGTTGAAAGTTAAAAGGTCGAAGTATCCAAAAATTTCGATTTATTTTACTTATGTTAGGCCGCAATATTTTAATATTTTACATTTTGAGATATTTGTACTTAAATTTTGAAAGGTTGAAAATTAAAAACTTCCAATATTCTGGAATTCAACTTACAAGTTCGGAATTAAATTATTATACCAAGTTTTAAAGCCTGCATTAAGAGATTACCTACTAATTCAGTCCAGTTACAGTGTAGATGATTTTATATTTATTCAAACATATTGAACCTTTATGAGTTTTAGAAGCAAGATACTCTACTTGTTTTATCACATGTTCTATATCGTTTGCTTTAGGCCAAAGAAGGGAGTATGGAAAGAAAATACCAATCCAATCCACTTTTTTTTTTTGGCACTACAGCCCCAGTGGGCCTAGGCCTACCTCCATGAACTTCTCCGTTCACTTCGGTTTTTCTAGATCTTACACATTCGGTAGGACTCCTTGGGCGGGTGATCAGCTCGTCGCAAGGCCTCTACCTGTACACAAATACAGAAAAACGCACACACACACACACAAACTAAACATCCATGCCCTCAGTGGGATTCGAACCCACGATCCCGGTTTCCAAGCGAGCGAAGACAGTACATGCCTTAGACCACTCGGCTACCGTGACCGGCCCCACTCCACTCTACTATGAATAAATACTAGTGAATAACTGCCCATTGATATTTTCCTAAATTGATAGTTTCAAATTTCTGGTTATATTCAAGCCTTTAAATTGGACAGATTTTTCTAACTTTAGAAACGACATGCTCCACAGTGTTTCATATTTCTGAAAACTAATCTGTTCAACATCTGGATATAATTATTCGAGTTCATTGCAGTTGTATGGAATTGCACCTTTTGCCCTTTGTAAACCATCGCACTTAAACACATACTCTGCCCTCATTTCTTCGATACATGTAATTTTTTAAAATCTTGTTTCTTATCCTTTACCCAACGCAGTTTCCATTCGTATAAAGTTATTTATTTGATGTTTACCTGGATATTAACGTGCCAGAGTATTGCTGGTACTCACATATGCATACCTATAATGTTAGATGCCAAAACTCAGATTCCGCTGAATAGCAGAATTAATTACAATTAATATGTTGTTGGACATTATCCATCATCTTGTCTGTTCTTAAAAAACCGCCCAACAACATATTAATTGTAAGATTTGAGGTTTTCACGGCGGTGACTATGAAGAAAGCAGTTTTCTGGGATTTGGCACCGTGTATATGTGGTGTTAACCGACGTTTCGGAGGAACGTATGGCCTCCATCTTCATGGTAGAAGAAAAATATAAGAAA